CTGCACAAAGAATGATTTATAAAACTAGATTTAAGACTTTAAACAGCATTCATCAGGATATGGAGAAGTATTGGTTCATTAAGCCAAATCAGAGAATGACGATTAGTGATAAGATTAATGATGATGAGGCAATTTGACTTTTTTTTGAACCTTCATTAACTGTATTTTACCTTTGCCTCATTGTTTTTCCACGGGGACCATTTTTTATTGCTTTTTTTCTCCTTTTTTGATAGGTAATTTATCCAGTATTCTTTCTTTTTATTTGTTTGTTGGCTCTCATTAGAGCATCATTTATCCTTCCATATTGTGAAAAAAAAAATTAATGATTTCCTTTCCTGATGGTCCATTTGAAGTAATTACTGCTTACTCTTCCATTTCAAATGGGAAAATAAAGAAGCTTTTTCTTTCCCTTGAATTTGTCTAATATACTGAAGTCTGAAATGTTGTAACCTTATGCTTTTATAAGCAATCAGCTGGTTGTGTGGTCCATAAAAGTCTAAGATTCAAATCTCAAAAAAAGAAAAAAAAGGCAAACATTGAAAAGAAAAAAAAAATTATACTTTAATTTTTCATATTTAACGTTGAAAGAAAACTTGTGATTTTCTCAATTTTCTTAAGGATCCTATTTAGTATGCTTGCTATCTTTCATGTGGTTAATTACAGGAAATTAGCTTACTAGCAAAATTTTTTTTTGCAGTTTCATCCATCTTGATGGCATGACAATTGAACAAGCAAAAAGTTGGATCATTTCCTTGTTCAGATTGTTCCTCTGATGGATGATGCCAAAAAAGTCTCCAAATGGTTTTTCTGATTCCTCTATCTTCAGAGCCAAGTGAGGATTCTGCTTCATGCTTAATTATTTTATTTCAAGTTTATTGTACAATAAGCACAAGTGTGCGTCGCAAGTCTTTTAATCCCCTCTCTTTAATAACCAATTAAAATCTTTAATGCAAAGATTAAGCTTTTAAATCGCTTGATTTTTATAATGTGCTGTTTTATTTGTATCAGAATTGGTACATATGCTGCTTCCTATTCCTCACCAATTACGAATCTTGCCTCTCTTTTGCTTAATCATAACAGAAATATTGAACCAAATTACAGAAATTTCTTGTGCATTCCTTTTGTTGAAGTTATTGGAAATTTCAATGAAGACTTTTAACCTCAACATATGGGAAAATATTAGGGTGCGGACCCGGAGTTAGAGATATGTCCGGACATCACTTAAATGTAACTCATGAGTGCGCTTTTGTTTGCCACTGTTTTGTGCGCTTTGACTGCTCTTTGTTGTGCTTTTTTATTGTGTTTTTGACTGCGCTTTGACGCTCTTTGTTTGTGTTTTTTATTATGCTTTGACCGCTCGCTTTACCTCGCTTGGCTTAAAATTCCGGGACGCATTAAACATATAAAGTAAAAAATAATATTCAATGAATTCCACATGTCCACTCCACGTGTCTAAATTTTATTTTGGAGTCCGGGAGTATCTCTACGCCGGGTGTCCGCAGCCTGAAGTTAAGTTTTCGCAAGACATTCACTCATTTTTCGATTGTGAGTCGCCGTTTTCTTCCAGTGGTCCATGATAGATACGCATGCCTCGTCGACTCTAGTATGACAGAACGATTGGCATGGGGTTACAGGTTGAGACGAAGAGCGAAAGAGGGGGTTAAAATAGATGAATGTTGCGCTTGCTGTCAAAAAGGAGTCTATTCGCAGGAAGGGCACGTTGCGATTGTTGTGAGCCCGCCTCCGCTCAGTCGTGTGGGCAAGAGAGTTCCTCGTATCCCATTGTGGTTGCTATGTGGATTGTGAAAACGGCCAGAAAGGGGCCTGGGCAGGCTGGTTTGGAAAATGCAAAAGAAGTATATTAGTAGTATTAATAATAGAAAAAATCAGATATGTTTCTCTGGTAAAGCTGTTTTGCTGAAAAATTCTGTAGGGTTTGGTCTGATGTGTCTATTGAGCTCGTTGTAATACTCATTCTGTTAGTCTTCTTCTTCAACGTCTGACCATGGGAATGACTCTTTGTGCTTTTGCTGGCGTTATTTTAACTCTTATTTTTTTTTTGTTGCTTTGGTTTTTTCATGTAGTTTTGACGATGAGGCAGATCAGGTTTGTTTTATTATGTGTATGTCCCTTACTGCTATTTTTGTATATGAATGATTGTCCAGAGGATTGTTGTGTCAGTATTAAGATGTTGGTTGAGAATGTCTTTTGTTGTTCTTTTGGTGATTAAAATTGTTGTTTTAAGAAGTCCAATAAAAAGCGGCGAAGAGAGTATCCACTAAGGCTTTCGTTGTGGGATCGGCCTATTTTTAATGTTTTTTGAAGCAACTTTTAGTTTTAAGAATTTAGAAAAGTGTCAGTACTTGAAAGCCTTAAGAGTAGTGAAGTCTCCACGAAGTAAGTGTCCAGGTTTTTATAGGAAATTTGTTATTGATAGCTCAAATTATTTGAAATAATAATAATAAATAATTATATTATAATCTAGCTTATATGTTGAGTTTTTCATGGCAATGACTAATAAGTTGAATTTTGAGTTATTTTAATTATATCTATTTTTATTTCTTTCCGTTTTAATTATGTCTATAATTTTGCGAAGATATTTTTTATTCTTAAAAAATTTATGTAAAATTTGCTTAATAATTAATTTCAACTTGCCTATTTCAAATCATAGTAAATCTCTTTTAGTGTAAGGGAATTAGGGGTAAGAAGAAAGTTTAGTCGTGTGGATGCAGATTGATAATTTTTTAAACTACTATTTTTTTTGGAATATTTTTTTTATTTTCTTAAGTAAAATGTTTATTAGAAAGTAATGTTTTAATCTTTAAGTGTATCAATGTTTTTTATATTCTTATATTTTTATTTTATATATATAGTAAATTTATTGATATCTTATTTCATTTAAATAGGTGTTAGTTTTATGGAATATATATTATATATATAAATATATATATATATTATATTATATATTATGTGTGTGTTATTTTAATGTGTTAAAATGTTCTTTTATAGTGGTATGGTAAACCTGAAACCAAAATGATTTTCATGAATATTGCTAAATTGTTGGCGCTGTTGAAGCATTTAGAGCATCTATAAGAGATGCCAAACGAGGGTATGGCGTCGTTGTCGCTCCAGCCGAACGCCAAATCTTCCGGCATTTACTTGCGGGTGAACAGTGACGCCAATATTGGCATTGCACTATTCACTTACGCTATTTTGCTCTCTCACTAAGAAAAAATGGCACGAAAGGGAGAATGATCGTTACCTTCGCATAAGAATATAAAAATTGGCGTTCGATTGGAGCAGCACTATGACATTTTTGAAATTTTTGCTGTATTTTGCCGTGAAAAATGAGTTCTCCATTGGAGATACCCTTAGGGAGTCATCTTTCATTCTTTATAGGTAGAAATTTATGCGGGCTTACACTTGGGCAAGTGTATGGGCTTTTTCCTGGCCCATTTCTTTCTTTATGTAGAAATTTTGTAGTTTTTCATTGACCAGTGGGGGCTTGGGCCCCAGTCCCTATTATAGCTTCGCGCCTAGTTGATTAAATCTTCATGGTGTATATATGTAAGGAATTTTTTTGTCTATAATCCATGCATTAATATTATCCATCATTTTGATATTAAAATTGAAACAACCCCCAATCTTTAACTTGTGTCTTTCTGAATTACTAGAATATATAAGATGAAAAATGATTTGCCTGGTTATGTTCATGCTTGGAAACATTGATGCTGATCACACTTTTACCATTGTAGTAAGGTTCCCCCCAAGCAATTAATGATTTTCACAGGTGATGTCAACTATTGCGTGCGAAAATATTTACAACAGTTGAGCTTTGGTTTAGAAAAATATGGAGAAATCCAAAATATTCACTCGAGCGTTGCAATGTTATAAGTTGAGCACTCGACGTGAGCATAAAACATTTTATATATATAATATATAATATATAATATATATATTATATATAATATAATAATAATTATTATATATATATATATATATATATATATATTATATATATACATTTTATTAGAGATGCTCTGCATGCTTCAACACAACAATTTAGCATACTCACCATACCGCCTTAAAAAAAACAGATATATATATATATATATGTGTGTGTGTTTTAATGATGTCTTTTAAGGCGGTATGTTAACCCGAAACACACAAACAGAGATATATATATATATTACATAAAACTAACACCTATTTAAAATGAAATAAGATAATCATAAATTTATATATAATATAACAAATAAAATATAGAATATAAAAATAAATATTGATACACTTCAAAGATTAAAATATTACTTTCTTATAAACTTTTAATAAGAAAATCAAAAAAGAAAATATTCCAAAAAAAAAAAAGTTAAAAAATTTCAATCTGCATCCACACCACTAAAACTTTCTTCCTTACCCACTAATTCACCTTACACTAAAAAGAGATTTACTATGGTTTGAAATAGGCCAACTTGAAATTAATTAATAAGCAAGTATTTCCATAATTTTCTTTAAGAATAAAAATATCTTCTAAAATTAATAGACATAATTAAAATTAACTCAAAATTCAACTTATTAGTCATTGCCATGAGAAAAACTCAACATATAAGCTAGATTATAATATAATTATTTTTATATTATTTCAAATAAATTGAAGCTATAATAACAAATTTCCTTTTAAAAAATGCCTCTCTAACATACTTAGGCTTCGTTTGGGACGACTTTTAATTTTTAAACTAAAAAGTTGCTTCAAAAAACAGTAAAAAAGCCGTCCCAAACGAAGCCTTAGTTTTCATTTGAGACGACTTTTTTATTGCTTCTTAAAATAAAATTTTAATACAAATTAAGAAGCAATAAAAAAAACCTTTTCTCAAACAAAATCTTATACTGACAACAAAATCTCTGACAATCATTCATATACAAAAATAGCAGTAAGGGAATACAATATAAAACAAACCTGATCTGCCTCATCGTTCAAACTACCATAGAAAAACCAAAGCAACAAAAAAAAAAGGTTAAAATAAGCAGCAAAAGCACAAAGAGTCATTCCATGGTCAAAGTTGAAGAAGAAGACTAACAGTGAGTATTACAACGAAGCTAATAGGAACACATCAGACCAAAACCCTACAGAATTTTTCAGCAAAACAGCTTTACCCAGAAGAAAACATCTCTATTTTTTTATTATTAAATATATATATTTTTTTGCTTTTCAAACAGCTGCGCTGTACAAATTCCACATAGAACAACAATGGATAGAGGAAGCTTGCCACATATGAGGGAGGGCTCACAAAACATGCAACGTGCCTTCTGGAAGATCTTTATTGAAGAAGGATAATTCATCTATTTACCTCTTTCGCCTCTTCGTCTCAACCTGTAATGCATCGTTCTGTCATATAGAGTGAGAGGATGGTTTATCCATGGGAACAATTATTACGTCCTCCGACCGGATGTAGAGGAACGTCCGGTCGGAGGCAAATTCCCGCCAAATACCGAGTTGTACAGAGTAAACACCGAGCAATATCAAATAATAACGACGAATAACATCATGTGAAGACCCAATACCGAGTTATTTCGAGCTATCTTGAGCAATACCGAGTTATACAAAAGTTGTACCGAGTTTTTCCTAGAAAAAACTCAGTACAACTCGGTATTTCTCGATATAGCTCGGTATAACTCGGTATTGGTCTTCAAAAAGCAGTATTCATCATTATTATCAAATAATACCTAGTTGTACCGAGAAAATACCGAGTTTTTTGGCGAAAATTTGGCTCCGACCGGACGTTCCTCTACGTCCTTGCACCGAATGTAATAAAAGTTCTTATCATGGACATGGAAAAAAAAGGAGTCAGCCAATGAAAAATGCAATTGATATGTTGGGAAAATTATTAGGTGCGGACAACGGACGTAGAGATACATCCGGACTCCAATAAAATTTAAACACGTGGAGTGGACATGTGGATATTCATTTGAATTTATTTTTTACTATATATGTTTAATGCGTCCGCAGAATTTTAAGCCAAGCGCACCAAAAGCGCAAGTAAAGTTAAGTCAAAGCACAATAAAAAAACATAACAAAAGAGCAGCCAAAGCACAGGTAAAGCGCAGTCAAAGCACAATAAAAAAGCCCAACAAAAGAGCAGTCAAAGCGCACAAAAAAGTGCAACAAAAGCGCACTCCACGAGTTACATTTTAAGTTGATGTACGGACATATCTCTACGTTCGGTGTCCGCATCTATTAATTTTCCGATATGTTGAGGTAAAAGTCTTTCATGAAATTTTCCAATAACTTCAAAAAAGGAATGCACAATAAATTCTTTATTTGGTTCATATTTCCTGTTAGATTAAGCAAAAGAGAGGCAAAGATTCAGTAAATTGGTGAGGAATAGGAAGAGCATATGTACCAATCTGATACCAAATACAGCACATTAATAAAAATCAAGCGATTTAAAAGCTTAATCTTTGCATTTAGAAGATTTAATTGTTTATTAAAGAGAGGGAATTAAAAGACTTGCGACGCACACTTGTGCTTATTGTACAAAAACTTGAAATAAAAATAATAAGCAGATCGAAGCAGAATCCTCACCTTTGGCTCTGAGATAGAGGAATCAGGAAACCCATTTGGAGACTTTTTTGCATCATCATCAGAGGAACAATCTGAACAAAGGAAATGATCCAACTTTTTGGCTTGTTCAATTGTCATGCCCATACAAGATGGATGAAACCTGCAAAATAAAAATTTTGCATGTTAAGCTAATTTCCTGTAATCAACAATGAAAGATAGCAAGCAAACTTAATAGGAATCCTTAAGAATTTGAGAAAATTCACAAGTTTTCTTCAACGTTAATTATGAAAATATTAAATATCATTTTCTTTTTCTTTTTCTTTTCATTTTTGCCTTTTTTCTTCTTTTTTTTTTTTTTTTTTTTTTTTTTTTTTTTTTTTGAGATTTGAATCTTTAGACCATTTTATGGACCACAAAACCAGCTGATTGCTTATAAAAAGCATAAGGTATCAACATTTCAGACTTTCATGTATATTAGACCAAAAATTCAAGGGAAAGAAAAGCTTCTTTATTTTCAATTTGAATGGAAAGTAGCAGTAATTACTTCAAATGGACATCAGGTAATGGAAATCATTATTTTTTTTTTCACAATATGGAAGGATATACATGATGCATCTAATGAGAGCCACTGGATAAATTACCTATCAAAAAAGGGAAAAAAGCAATAAAAAAATGGTCCCCGTGGAAAACCAATGAGGCAAAGTAAAATACAGTTAATGAGAGGTTTCAAAAAAAGTACAATTGCCATCATCATCATTAATCTTATCACTAATTGGATTTGGCTTAATGAAACCTACTTCTCCATATCCTGATGAATGCTGTTTAAGTCTTAAATCTAGTTTTATAAATCATTTTGCGCAGCTTCAATTTATATTAGTTCTGGTCTATCTATTTTAATTCGTAATCCTTCCAACTTAATTTTATCGACCTATTTTCTAAGTCTCTTCCACTCACCATCATGCATGCCCAACAAACATAAATCCAGTTTCCACTATAGGAAGTGCTCCCACATTCCCTCCAATATATTAATTTTCAATTTACCATTTCTTATTTTACCACTCTTATAATTTCTTATTTTACCACTAGTCAATCTTAATATTTCATTTTTATCACATAATATTCAGCTTAAGTTATATTCCAAAATAGACGACAACTTAATCATTATAGTGTCATTACTATAGTTTTTGAAGTTCTCTAATAACAAATCATAGTGTTCTTAGAGAACTTCAAAAAGTTGTGAGAGAATGCGCCAAACTTGACAATGCATTCATAATGTAGATGACGTATCTGCATAACATTCACCAACATGATGACGCATTTAGAAACATTTCAATTCGACATTATAAAAAAAAGAAAAGTGCACCTAAAATCATTTCAATTTTTAAGTAGGCAAGGCACATACGCAACATTCACCAACATCAAGAAGAAAAGATATAGTTAGAAACATTTTGATGTGAAATATATATTAGATGCAGGAATTGCTTCGGATTAATAAATGATTGACAAGTTTATCAATAATAAAATTAACGTTTCACAAGAGCTGATTTTAGAATTTTTTTTATATGGTGATCAAGCAATAGCCTTTAAAAGAGAAGCATAATACTAAGTTAAGTGTGGCAGAGATGAGGATGCTCAGGTGGATGAGTGGCTTTACCCTTAGAGATAGGATACGAAATGAGCATATACGTGAAAAGGTTGGAGTAGCTCCAGTAGAAGATAAGATTAGAGAAAGTCGCCTTAGATGGTTTGGTCACATAAAACGGCGGCCTTGCGATGACCCGGTTAGGAGAGTAGAGGTATTAGATTTGACTTATGTTAAGAAAGGTAGGGGTAGACCTAAAAAGACTTGGTTAGAAAATATTATGAATGACCTTTCTTTATTAGATTTAAACGAGAATTTGATTTTTAATAGGACACAATGGAGAAAAAGGATTCATGTTGTCGACCCCACGTAGTGGGATAAAGGCTTGATGTTGTTGTTGTTGTTGTTGGTGATCAAGCAATAGCATGCGGCTACAAATAGAGTAGGAGAATAATAAAATAACAACAAAGACACTAAATGCCTATTTGCAACTAACAGAATTCCCACAATTAACAACTAGAATCACAATGAAATCCCCTAATAATTAAATGATATGAAACATATATTAGATGCAGGAATTGCTTGGGATTAATAAGTGATTAACAAGTTTACCTATTATAAAATTTAACATTTTACAATAGCATATTTTAGGATTTTCTTGGTTGGTGATCAAGCAATAGCATGCGGTTACAAATAGAGTAGGAGAATAATAACATAACAACAAAGACACAAAATACATATTAGCAACTAACATAATTCCCACAATTAATAACTAGAACAGTCACAATGAAATTCCCTCAATCACACTCTTTGAGAATTTCAACGGGAGAAAACTTGATACAATATTAATTGTCGCTAAGAAGAAGCAAGCACTTAAAGTTTTGTTCAAGGAAGAGTTACTCGGGAAAGAGGTGACTGGTGGACGGTGGGAGAGTTGCCAATGAACAGGAGGTTGACGCTGATCAATGACGGTTGCAAGGGAGCAGAGAATCTGATCTACGTATTCCTCGACGGTATGGTCGTTCCCAAAGTCGATGTCGAAGAAAACAAAATGGAGTGCATCCACTAGGCCTTGGTCATCAAAGACGAAGCCATGATCCAAATTAGGATCAGCCATCCATGGAGGAAGGGAAAAAGGGGCAATTACTTAGAGGTAAATAAGTGTGTGGGACTGGGCAATGGCCTTAGGACTTAAAGGAGAGGAGAGTAGACAGCAATAGAGGAGATTAATAGGGGTTGGGAAGGAGAAAAGGCAGCCGCTATGGGAATGGGGAAAGCTTTAATTAAGTGGAGTTAATGAGAATTTGGAAGGGGAAAAGGTAGCACTAGGGAATAAGGAAGGTTTTAATTAAGTGGAGTTGATGAGGATGGGGAAGGAGAAAAGGTAGCAACTAGGGAATATGAAATGCTTTAATAAAATGGAATTAATGAGGATTGAGAAGGAGAAAAGACAGCAACTATGAGAATGTGAAAAGCTTTAATTAATTGGAGTTAATGAGGATTGGGGAGGGGAAAATGTGGTAACTAGGGAATACCAAGAGGCAAGGGAAGGCTGGCCGGCCAAGGGAAAGCAGCAAGGAGTTTGGCTGGCTGTTCGGACGAGGCAGGGAGGCTCAGTTGGCTGTGTGAAGGGAAGGAAAGGGGTTGGCCAGCTATTTGAAGGTAGGAAGGCTCAGTGGCTTCTTGGGAAGAGCCTAAATATTCGATTGGTTGTTTGGAAGGGTTGGAGTACTTGGTGGCTGCTTGGGAAGGCCTGAAATATTCGGTTGCCTGTTTGGAAGAGTTTGAGTGCTTGGTGCCTTGGTGGCTGCTTGGGAAGGGATGGAATATTCGGTTGGCTGTTGGGAAGGGTTGCAGTGCTTGGTGGGCTGTTTGGAAGAAGGATGGGGGTGAGAGAGGGAGATAGGATAAAGCCAAGAACCTTGTCATAGCGAGGGTTATTAGGTGTTTAGGGATTTCACTCTTCTCTCCAGAAGACTCAAACACACAGATAACTCAGAAAAACTAAAGTTTCATTCATAATAATCATCATCTTCATACAATAGCTTAGGGCCTCAATATATAGGCCTCAAAACATGAAGACTCAAAAGACTAAAACTTCTCTTGGGCTATAACACACAAATAACCCAACATAAGGGTAACCTGAAATAAGAAAATGAAATACATTAAATAAATCATAAATAAAGACTCCGAATCACAGCCGTCGATCTACGACTCCTGTGATAGACGCGTCAAGATTTCCTTCTAATGTCCTCATCATTCTCCCCAGGTGGGAGAAAGCTCGATCCCGTCGAGTAAGCATCACAGGTGCTCTTGTACATCTCTAGACTGTCGAGATCCAATCTCTGTAGCTCATCACGATCAATCCATGTGTTCTACATCTCTAATTTTCCTTTCCATTTAACTAAATACCTCTAGCGCCCAACATCCTTAGTGAAAATGACTTCATCATTAAGTATTGTTTCAATTTTCTCCGCATTAGGTAAGGAATGAATATTTGGGAGTGGAGGTAGGCTAGGTTTCTCACTAGGTGGGTTCTCACAAGTCTTAATATGTAATGGGTTTATGGGGTTAAAACTCTGGTCATTCAAAGGCTACTAGATCTTCGATGTTAAACATAGGATTCATGTTAAAACCTTCCAAACAGCCAACCAAATATTACATCCCTTCCCAAGCACTCCAACCCTTCCAAACAGCCAACCGAATATTCCAGCCCTTCCCAAGCAGCCACCGAGCCTTCCCACCCTTCAAATCGGCTGACCCCTTTCCTTCCCCTCCACACAGCCAACCAAGCCTCCCTCCATCTTCCGAACAGCCGGCCAAACTCCTTGTTGCTTTCCCTTGGCCGGCCATCCTTCCCCTTGCCTCTTGGTATTCCCTAATTGTCATATTTTCCCATTCCCAATCCTCATTAACCCTACTTAATTAAAGTTTTCCCAATCCCATAGTTGCTTCCTTTTCCCTTTCCCAACCCTCATTAACTCCATTTAATTAAAGCCTTTCCTATTCCCTAGTTTCTACCTTTTCACCTTCCCAATCCTCATTAACTCCACTTAATTAAAGCTTTTCCCATTCCCATAACTACTACCTTTTCCCCTTCCCAACCCCCATTAATCTCTCATATTATTGTCCACTCTCCTCTCATCTCCATTAATTCTCAAAGTCATTGCCCAATCTCATACACTTATTTACCTCTAAGTAGCCGTCCCTTTTTCCCTTCCTCTATGGATGGGTGATCCCAATTTGGATCATGACTTCGTCTTTGATGACCAAGGCCTAGTGGATGTGCTCCATTCTCCTTTCTTCGACATCAACTTTGGAAACGATCATACCGTTGAGGAATACGTAGATCGGATTCTCTTCTCCCTTGCAACCGCCATCGACCAAGGTCGACCTACTGTTCAGTGGTAACTCTCCCACCGTCGACTTGTCACCTCTTTCCCGGGTAACTCTTCATTGAACAAAATTTTAAGTGTATGCTTCTTCTTAGTGGCATCATTAATATTGTGTCAAGTTTTCTCCCGCTGAAATTCTCAAAGAGTATGAGTGAGGGAATTTCATTGTGACTATTCTAGTTG